TTTCAATATCGTTTAATGAGTTGAACGGAATGAAATGAAAGTCGAACTGAAAACTGAAACGGATTTAGTAAGCATTTAAAGGAACTCAGCCGTTTTTCAATTTATTTTCATAATGAGATTTTTGTTTGGCCCAAAGAAAAATGTTGTCATTCTGCTTGCCACTGTTGCTTGCGCTATTAAAAAAAACTTTCAAGCATATTTGATGAATATGTAATAATATATTTCCAACACTGAAGTTTGGAAACGAAGTCATCAATTCAGAAGCACACTGTTTAATAATTTCCCATTCTCCTGTAAAATTTAAAATGTAGGATAATGAAAGTGTCATGAACAACCATCCTTCAATTAGTCTTATATGTCTTAATACCACCTGTCACCTTGTAAAAATCATCATCCATCATCATCGACCTTTCTGAAGTGTCATCTTTTATTCCCTGTCAAGATATACGTCTTATTCTCAGAATCCAAGATGCTGAAATGCAACCCAATTCCAAGAAGGTCTCTCTTTTGAATATTAAAACTCGGCCCATTATTACCATTTGAATAAAGATGAATTATCAAAAGAAAAATTACCAGTCTTAAAAGCAACTTGATGCCAAATGAGAGCTAATTCGGTAGTATTTTGGAAGCGAGCCCAACACCCACAGTCGGGCAAAGCGGCTTGCAAAATAACTAGAGGCTTCTAATTGCGATGGATTTGCATAAATGAATGCTTAATTAGGCGAGGGAGGGTAGTCGGAACATTACTGTACTAACTGCTTAGGTTATTCTATTAAACAGCCTGTTGAGAACAAGTAGCAGATGTATTTTGTCAGCTTATTGCTCGCTAGATGCATTTTAATCAATGAAAATATGCTTAACTTTTCATTAAAATGCGTTTTAAGTGCTTCCTGGAGAACTTTTGGTTTAATTGCTTTATTTAAATTACTTTACTAATGTTGAATGCGCAAAGAATATAGGATTGCGCATTTTAAGTTTCGCGTAATCTTCCAGTTATAAGAAAATTTAGTTTAATTATACTTCGAGAACTCGTTGTTTAGACAAGCAAAATTTCATTTTGTTTCTTTCATCTGATTTTTTTTTAATTATTTATTTAGATTAATCAAGTTTTTGAAAGCTTTTATATGTGTTAAAAGGTTTTTCTTCTTGTTTATGTTCGATAAATATTTTTACTATTATAATATTTGAAATATAAAATTCAAATGAATAATTAATAACCTTAGGGTATTATTTAAAATATAAATTATTATAAATTAGGAAGAAAAAAAAATTTGAAAAATTAAAGACTTTAATTGTTGCTGTATATGATATTAAATTTTTGTCGAATAAAATGAAAGGTATGTAAATAACACTGTTTCTTTTTAATTATTTGAGGTGATGCATATCAAATCCATACCAAATCTCTTAAATACCAGAACGGTTCCTTTATTTATTCATATTTGTTCAAAGAAATTGTTCCGTACGTTTTTATCAGTGTTCTTAAATTTGTTCTGATCCCATCTCCAACGTTCTAACCTTAATTTCTTAAGCCCCAAAAGCTCATTTATAATATTTGTGACGTTTTTTTAAACAGTTTAAGGATTATCTCAAAATTCAGTTGAGCTAGCTTTACACTGCTTCATACAAACTAACTCGTTTCTATATCACTGTTATTTAAAACAAATATTTAACTTTGTAATTTAATTATAAATTGTTATTTTACTTTTATACTACTATTTACAATTTTAAATAATTAATTTTAAAAGAAATTATATTTTTAAAAAATTTTTATTCATTATTTTTTTATAAATTTTTCAAGTTACATCTTATAAATTTTTTTTAAAAGGAAACTTCTGATACTTAATTCTGATACTTAATCAATGAAAATTAGATATTTTTTTAAATTCCTTAAAATAATGTCATTTTTGTTTATGAATTTATTTTTTTGTTCTAATAAGTTGTTGGAACTGCTGAACAAATATCTACATTCGACAAATGTTTTACATTCTAAGATACCTGAATAAAAATAACATCAGTGTTTCGTTATTGATGCCTAAAGAAAAACAAAAATATGAACATAGTTCACTGTCCTATGCCATTTTAAAAAAGAAATTGTACATTATAATACTGAAATTCCTTCCATCTAAATTGTTTTAAGCATTTCAAGAAAAATTATCCATTACTATTGAACGCATATTGAGTATTAACAATTTAACTCTTTGACGATCAAATAAAATATGACATGCCATTTTTTGTCTCATGACAACATCGAATTCTCAATACTCTCGAATTAGCGACTTATATTTAATGCAAATGCCATAAAATAGTCATATCTTTTTAATTAATGTTTAAATCTGAATTAAAACGGGCCCTGGGCATTTTTAATTTACCAAAATTACTCAGTGCGGTTAAACAAGGCTTTCTCCATGACCAATAATGATTTATATTTCAAAGGACTCTACGGAAATACTTATGACTGCTCTGTTTCAATTTAAGAACACTCCATACCATGGCGAAAATTCCTTCATTTACATTAGTAATTTAAAATTTTAGCTATAGAAAACACATAGACGGGCTAAACAAACACTAAAATTTGAAATATCATTTGTTATTATTTTCTTTTTTTAAAAGTTTGAAATTGCAAATAAAGTATGTCAGAATTAAACCTCTTCATAACAGGTAATTATGTCATAACTTGATTACAATCTGACAAATAAAAAAAATAATATCTGAAACATCATTTAATTCTTGGTAAAACAGAACTCATTTTATCTCTAGTTTAAATTTAATGTTACGAATGGAGCTAAAAGAGAATCTACCGTAAATGGTATCTCTTCCCTTGGTATGATGCTCCCTTATTAATTAATTAAAACGCGTTTTGTATAGTAGCTTTTGACTCAGTGACCTTTCACAATAATAAGACTCTTGAAAAATGCTTCTGCAAACAATAATATACAATGGTACAATTTGGATGAATCATGATTCCAAAATGGTGCGTTTTTTAATTTCTCTTCTTTTGTTTTGCAATCGATAAACTTTAGCACAGTTTATAATCAATCAAAGGTCCATCTCTTCCGCTTCAAGATATTTCACCTCTAAGGCATTGATTCGACAGCTCCTCATTAATAAATGACAGGCCATTGAGACAAAATATTGTAGTGTCTCCAACAGGTAATGGAGATATGTTTTTGCTTTTCCAAATCCGAACCCTCCCCGAAGTAAAGAACGAATAAAAAAAACAAGGTCGTTTGGTTCTTCTTTTACAAAAGATCGTCATTGATGTGTGCCGCGGGTGATGTTCATTTATGCAAATTATTGATTTCAAACATAGAAGAGCGGGAGACTTTGGCGACAACATTCACATATGAAACCTGTCATTGTGAACTGGCGAAAAATATATGACCATATTTTCTGTCTTTTTTTCTTCGTGACAAATTATTTATTGCTTTTTCTTACGAAAGAGGTTGATAAAAGTTGTTAAAAATAAGGAAGGCATGTTTGAAGAAAGGTATACATAAGTCAAAATAACTGATAGCAATCTTTATTTAATAAACACTTTTACGTCCTGTTTATGTACTATTAATATACTTTATCCGATAGTTATGAGATGTTAATTATAAATATAATGAGAGAAATACATAAATCATATCATCTAATTGTGTTTATAAATAATATTTTTGCGTCTTACTATTAAAGAACAATGTCTGGTAATTTTTGACATTCTTTGATAAATATCAACATTTATACACACTATTAGAGATTTAAGATTGCTGGAGCATAATATGGTGCCAATTTGATGGAACTTTAATGTAATGCTAATTTGAATTGCATTACCGTAATTCTTTAAATTAGCTTCATGATTGCTTAGTTTGAGTGATGGTTCAGTTTATCACTTCATTAAAGTTGTAGCAGAAATATGAGCACCTGGTGCCAATATTATGCCAATATATATGCTGATTCCATCTTTCAGAAAATGCATAAAAATTTTAGTTACTTGCTGTAAAATATTACTAAATACCATCATTTCTACACAAGCAAATGTTAATATTTATTGGAAATTTTATATAAAAAACATTCATATGCGCTAAAACTCAAATGCAACTTTATTTTTCTTTTATGTAGGAAAATATCGAAATTCACCATGATCAACATTGAAAAAAAAAAAACATTTGTATGATGCTATGACTGAAATTCCTATGGCCCTATATTTCCCCTCGATATTATTTCTCCTTTGCACTGGAGAAGGTCGACATTCACCATCGTCGATGTTAAAAAAAATATTTTTATATCATTAAGACTAATAAAAAAAGGGCTAATATTAACTTGTTTAATGTTTGGCCAGAAATAAAAGGTACATGATGAAGGAAATACTCAGTATTCCAATTTAAACTTACTTCGCAAATTTTGAACTAAACAAATGAGGGATAATTTTATTTTAAAATATGTCATTTAATGTATTTAAAAAAAAACTTATCTTCAATATAGATAACTTCATTTAATTGTTTTCATACAGTAAAAATATTTTTAATATATATTTTTTTTTAAATTCTATCGTTCTAAGCTTATCATAGCTCCCACTACAAACATCTGGAAATTAATTTGAGGTTATTCTATTTCAGACACACCATTAGATTTGTCGCGTTCTCTGTTATTAAATTTAAAAAAAATTAACTTATCTTCAATATAGATAATTTCATTTAATTGTTTTCATACAGTAAAAATGTTTTTTTTTTATTTTTTTTTTAAATTCTATCGTTCTAAGCTTATCATAGCTCCCACTACAAACATCTAGAAATTAATTTGAGGTTATTCTATTTCAGACACACCATTAGATTTGTCGCGTTCTCTGTTATTAATTTTAAAAAAATTTACTTATCTTCAATATAGATAATTTCCTTTAATTGTTTTCATACAGTAAAAATGTTTTTTCATATTTTTTTTTTTCAAATTCTATCGTTCTAAGCTTATCATAGCTCCCACTACAAACATCTAGAAATTAATTTGAGGTTATTCGATTTCAGACACACCATTAGATTTGTCGCGTTCTCTGTTATCGTCTCGAGTACCAGTGATGACCCTTGATGTCCCTCAACCAACGAGGACATTAATGACACCTCCCTCCGAACCAGAAGAAAGGAGATCCGTATCAAGTGATGGTTTATCACCCAGTGACGAAGTAAGGATATTTTGAATATGACATATGTGTAGTTTTCAGCGTCAGTTCTGATAATTGTAAATTATTTGATTTTGCTTTTACATCAACTGTTAAAAAATTCAGCATACACCATTTCTTTGTTATTTATTTATTTAATTAATTTTTTTATTATGCATAAACCTACTTGAAACCTGAAAAATCATTGTTCGTCTAATAGAACGTGTCACTTCACAAAGAATTAGAAAAGTACACAAGATGTAGTTCACGAAAAAAAAATACTGGTAAAATTACCATACTGTGTGGTAATCACATTCCTTCTTTAAAAAAAAAAAATCTGATTAAAAAAAACAAAATATAAGATATTTAAACCATTCATATTGGAATTTTTCCGTTCACATGACTTTCTGAAAATTCTGGTTTTCAAAATTATAGTTGTTATTACCCAGCATCTAGAAAAAAAAAATACAAAACTGAAAAGTAATTTCGACCGAATAAATCGTTTCTATTTCATGCAAGCATCATGATCAAATTACCAAAGTTTACCACATTTGCCTAACATTAGCTCATAATAAAAAAAAACATATTTTTTTTGTTAATATTTACTTAAATCATTACCGAAGCACTTTCATGAAAATTATTGAGCTTTTTGCTGTTCCCCTAGAGCTGTAGGTAAATTTAATCATATTCTGGTAGTTTTGATCACATTTCCTTATCTCAGTGCAGTTTTAATACTTTGTTGCATAAGTTAATGAAATGTTTCATTCTGCATAAGCAGGAAGGAATTTATGATTTCTCCGAAAGCATGAAAATATGAAAATTGTTCGACATTTATTTGTTAAGAGGAATGCTTACTACAAGCTGTTTACAAATATTTGTAATCAAACTTGCACCGAAAAGAGAAGTAATGAACAAAATATTGCAGTAAAATATGAATTTTCTTTCAAAAATGATTTCCGTACAGGATGAATTCCGTACAGGGCTGAATTCTGTAGCATTGTAAATGCTTGATATATTACACGCCATTATTATTTAATACATTTTTGCACGTTAGATTTTTTATAGATGATAATATAGCCATATATAGTTTATCATTTAGTATATGGTACATATACTAAAGATTCACAATAAAGTTTAAAACAAATTTATAATAGTGTATTAACGAGAAATAATTAAGGTCTTGCAAATAAAATAAAAAAGCTAAAGAAATGCAATTTGAACAAAAATATTGAAGAAAACAAAAAGTCAAAAAACACAATACAGAAAATAAAAATCTAAAGAAAAAAAAAAACGTCCATTACGTTTTGAATAATTATTTGATGTGTGATAAAATATTATTAATGTCATTCTGTTGTTTCCAATAAACTTTTTTTTAATTTATTTCCTAGTCTTTGAATAGTGAAATAAGGCCAACAATAGTAAAGAAAGGAAGAGAAAGAACATTACTGCCATGTGAAGTTTGCGGGAAAGCCTTTGATCGACCATCCCTTCTTAGGAGACATATGAGAACGCACACCGGTAATTCTTTTTCCTCTCTTTTCTAAGACTATTTTTAAACCTCAAGAAAATTCTTTGTGTATAGTTTTCTTTTTTAAAACCGAATTCCAATAAACGTAAATGGATTTTTTTTTGTTAAAGCTGGCCTTTTAAAAATGACTAAACTGCAAAAGTTTAAACTCAGATCTAATTTGGCTTTGAGCTTTCAGTCTATTGTTATATTTCAATCAGGATTTTTTTCTTTTTTTAAATGTAGAAAGACATTTTTCGTGCTTAATAAAAGAGTTGTTAATATTTCAGTTCAAATTATTATTAGACTTAAAGATTGTGTTTTAGAAGCAAAAAGTGACTTTTCATCGATACTTAATCCTAGATTTTTCTTTTTTAAATTTATTTACACACAATGAAAAGTGAAAATGACAAAATCTAATTGTAAGTATCTTTTATATTAAGTTAAAATTCTAGAAAATAAATGCAAAGTAAAATATCCTTTATAAGGCGAACTAGATCTTTCTAATTTTTTTTTTTTTTTTTTTTTTNTTTTTTTTTTTTTTTTTTTTTTTTTTTTTTTTTTTTTTTTTTTTTTGTTAATGCTTCTGGCACGCAGCAGATCCAAAAATGTTCATGAATCTTGAAATTTGTGTATTTTTAAGACTCATTTGAACTCTGTTCCACTAAATTTTTTAACGCCTCCCAGGCGGTGTGGTAGATAGAGCCTCCGCCTACCATACTTTGGACCATGGTGTTATTCTCAGAGCTATAGGCCGGAAGTTTAATCAGAGTGTACTTTCTTTATGTTCGAAAGTTACTTTTATGTAATGTCCCAGGGAGATTCAAAGACGGTATAATGTCCACGCGCAGTTAGGTAGTTACGGAGCTTACCATAGGCTAATTATTTGCTCTATCTATCTGCTTTTAAATTCAAATTTATAATAGTAAACTGAGAGCATGAGCTAGTATAGTCTCTAGATCATCATATCATCATTAAGGACCGATTTCCAACTGTTACCAACATAGTGCAATGCAACATAGTGCAATGCAACAAATGCAGTTTTTAAATTTTATATTTACATTTCGTTTCTTATTATTTTTAGGTGAAAAACCTCACGTATGTGATGTGTGTGGTAAAGGTTTCAGTACTTCTAGTTCACTTAATACACACAGAAGAATTCATTCCGGTGAAAAACCTCATCAATGCCATGTCTGTGGAAAACGGTTTACAGCAAGTTCTAACCTGTATTACCATAGAATGACACATAGTAAAGTAAGTACCATATGCATTAATAAAAAATCTATTTTCAATTTTTTTAAAAAAAGGAATTTAATCTTTTTTTATATGAAAAACCGAAACCTTCATTATTTACTTGAACTTTCAACGGGAGTTCAAATAATTGTAAACTGTAAAAAATTTCGAATCAAATTGCAGTATAAATTACCGATACTTTGGATGTATCATCCGTAAAATTTATTTTGCCTTAAAATCGTTTTATACCGTAAAATATTGTACGTAATTTTTACAGCAATATTTATTTAAATGGAGTGATGCATTGGTTTTATGGTAACTATTACTGTAAAAATTACAGTGTGTTAGATGTTTTGTTTTTGTTGAAATTTATTATTATTATTATTTTTTAAATATCCACTTTTTTTCATGGTAAAAGTACCTGCTCCCGGAGTGCTGATAAATTTTACCGTCATTTGATCCGGAATTTTTTATTGGTAGCCTTGTAAAATGGTTAGTTTAAAATTGAAAAAAAATATTGATGCTAATTTTAATGAAAGTCTCGCAAAATCGTATATTTGCTTACAAAAGTATGGGAGCATCTGAACTTACATAATCTGAATTGTATTATGTGAAATATAAAACTAATGATAGTAAATACAAAACAGTTATATCAAATTACTTAATATTATATTCATTAATTATTATTATTCTTTTTTTTTTACAAAAAATTTATTCTTTCTTTAAATATACACTTAAAAGCATTAGTTTTTAATAGTGCCATAGTTCTAGATTAAGTTTATCTTTTGAGTCAAAAGTTTTTAGCCTATTTTTTTTTTAAATATCCACACAATAATTTTAAAATTTACTTCTAAAGAAATAACGCAAAATAATTCACATGAAGTTCTCACTGTTAATATTAAGTTAATTGCGAATCCCTAAATCTTAGAAAGTACAAGTTCAGAACATCAAAAATATACAACGGCAATTAAATGGTTGCTCAATATCATGTTTACTTGAAAAAATGTTAATTAAATTACTGGATTAAAAATAAGCAATGATACTAATCTCAACTCTGATCAAAATAAATACCGATTTCCACAACAAATTATCTGTAACGATACGGAAATAATTAAAAAGAAATATAGCAATTAAGTTCTTACAAGCTTACCACTGTCACATAGGGCATGGCATTATTTAGGTGAACCAAATGAGATAAATTACCTTTGAATTTGATAACTTAATAAACGTTCCGCTATTTTTAAATAAAACTGGTTTTTGAAAGTCAATTTTACCATATTTAAGAAGAAAATAGCGCAGTTTGAGCTATTTTAACACAGAAAATAAAAATAAAAAAAATACAAAGGTTCCACCCAATAACCTCTGGTAGTAATAAACAAGCTGATAAGTGAACTATTGATAAATGTGAGCTTACTAACCCTTTATCAGTTAGCCCGAGGTTAGACAATGACCCAAACAGTTTAGAAGATTTTATTCTAATCAATTTTATCGTTTTACATTAGATAAAACGCCATAAGTCACTTGCGTTACTTGTTTAGACATTGACAGATCAAATGTGATTATGCACACTTTGAAATAATGCATTTATAATTGAAGCCTAAAATGATGTGCAATGCATATCAAATATTCCATTACTTCTTTGCAAATTTTGTAGGGTTTATTTCTTTGCGAAACTTACGACTAAAGTTGGTTTTGTTTGAGGTTTTATATGTCTTATATGAATTTTCAGTCTTGAACGATACGTTGTTTCTTTGAACAAAAATAAGCTATTATTAAATAAATCTTTATTTTTAGTCTCTCTCGGCAACTAATGTTTTTTTAAGTTTATCTCACCTTTATCTTCCATATTTCTTCAGCAACTTAACTTTTTATATTTCAAATCACTTTTTTTTCTTCTCCTTAACGTTTGGCATGTCTTGAAAATGAGTGCCTATTTTTGAGCGCTGGAAACATGTCAACTGTTGCTTCCAATCTGTATATTTCCGTAGCATATGAAATTTCATTACCTGATTCTGATAAGACAAAAAAAAAAAGATCAAACAGTACAAAAAATTAAACATTTTGCTATCAAAGATATCACATTAGGGTCAAATAAAGTTTACATCTTTTTATCATACTGGTTGGAATACATTTTAAAGGGATATAATATGTAGAATATCGCTGAAAAAATGATAAATATTAAACATTTTTTTATTTAATACTTAATTCCAAATAATTGTAAATTTCAACCTTAGATAGAAAACATATGCATCGAATATATTATTCACGATTGGAACTATATCACTTTTTAAAAATGATATTTTATGTAAACTAATCTAAATTTAAGTTTAAAAAAAAACTGCAAACACCGCAACATACAGAAAAAAATATGAGATTTTCCACAAAAACGTATTCTCTCAATCCCTTGTACTTAAACAGGAAACTTTAACGTTATAGAATTAAATCAATTCTTTCAAAAAATCTAGGAAACTGATCTATATTTTACAGACAAATGATATAAACTATTTGAATCTCTAAGGTATATTTATTACCATCCAGATGTCTTATAACTAAAAATATAAGCCTTAATATATAACCTTAAATATCCTTAAATATAAGCATTATTTAAGGACCCTGATTTTCAAATTTCGTAGGATGAAAATAAAGCTATTTCAAATAATGAAAGAAAATTTAAACTTAATGATTGACTAACGAATAAAAATAAAAGTAAGAATAAATATTCAAAGAAAACTCATTTCAATTAAAAGCCGCGACCAACTGATAATATAATTTTTTTTTTAAATAGTTCCACAAAATTTGCACAAAATATTTAAAATATTATTTCTAATTTTTATGAATTGAGTTTCCGGTCGTTAAGTGACATTTTTTCCTAACCTAACATAAGAGAATAAACTCTAGCGATGACAACAGAATACATCACTTTAATAGTTCAATCCATACATTTCTTCTTTTTATTGCCTAAGTATGCTTTGGAATATAAAAGAGGAGAATTCATTGTGTCAACGCAATTGAAATATTTATAGGTACAGCGTTTTTGATCATTTAATGTTCAACATAACTTATTTACTGAAATAAAATCATTTGACCACACAGAAGCAAAAAGTGTGTATTCGGAATAATATTTGCTGACAAATGCGTCCTCTACAATTCAATGACGAAATGAACACGCGTAATTTATAAGTCCATGAATACAAAGTATGTGTTGTTAAACTTAGGTCTAAATTTTTTTTTCTCTGTCATTAATCAATAAGTTTATTTTGAGCCAGGAGATTTCTTACACTGTAAAAAACTTCAGATTAAATTAAGGTATTAAGTGGTACCTCATCCATAAAACTCACTTTACTGTAAAACCCGTTTTTACCATAAAATATTATACCGTATTTTTTACAGTAGCATTTATTTAATTAGAGTATTTCAGTGATTTTTACGGTAACTGTTATTGTAAAAATTGCTTTACATCAGATTTTTTAAACATGTCATTCCCGTAAAAATAAATTTTACGGTAAATAGTACCGACAACCTGAATGCCGCTACTTTTTACAGTAATTTGATCCTAGATTTTTTGCAGCGTTCTTAGTATTAATTATTTATGTAATTCATATAAAATCTTTCATAATATGTTTTCGGAAAAAAAATCTGCATTCATGCAAAACTGCATTTTTCCGTACATTAAACAAAACAAAATGAAGCATTTGAAATACAAATTTCTAAAAAAACATTTATAAACATAATCTAATAATATTATGAGAATATTTAAAAATTGAAGTACATTTTTTATTTTGAAAACATTTAAAATCTAAATCTACATGAAATTGAGATTTATTTTAGACTTTTTTCGAATCGCTCCTATCTATTAGAAAAGTTGACAAGTTTTCTGCATTAGAGTGATGTTAGAAAAGTTTATTATCTAAAACTAACGCCAATGAACTTTGGAAATTTTTAAAAAGCTGAGAATCTAAGATAAGTAAATATTTGCTTTGACCCCAAGTTGTCTGAAAACGGATTCTAGAAAAGTTGTCTAACAATGTATATTTAATATATTCCGCCATTAATTTCCGTAAACTTTCTATCTATTTTAATCTGTATGCTTTCGAATGATCTTGGAACGAATATTAAATTATTTATACTATATGCGATTCCCACGCAAATATGTATCGTAATTATCGAAAAAAGAAAGCAAGCATCATTAACGAAAAATCATTAATCAAAATTATGCTGTTTTCTTTAACTTAAAGGGAAAAAATAATAAATAACCGAATTATTACTGTTTTAATGTAATATGAACGCAGTTATTCTGTATCATATTTTAGAAAAACCAGTAATTGCTTCATTTTTTGTATATTTAATTTAAAGTATCATTAACTTACATAATGTTCACAGCATACATCAGTAACATAAGGTTTACAGCATACATCAGTAAAAACAGCCTTGATATTTAATCAGTTTTCTACCTTCTTTTTAATAAGATATTACAACTAATAGAATAGATTTTTATCTGATTTTTCTTACAATTTTATTTTCAAATAAATAAAAGAAAGCATGGTAACAAGTTTTTTAAGCCTGTTAACAAGTTTTTAAGCCTGTTAAAGTCACACTATGCATTGATAACTAAGCTAAAATTCTGATTATAGTTCATATCAAAGTAGTTTCTTCAAAGTTCATTCTGAGGTGTCTGCATCGTTTGCAGATACCATTAAATATCGAAAGAAAGAAGATTTTTCTTTCACCGTCTCTGGTTTAGTTTTTCTTACGATAAATCTCACCTATCGCGCAAAAATGAGTTAAATGTTGCAACCTCAAGTTGCGATCTGTACCCTGTGACCCTTCCATGACCTCATTAAGCTGCAATTAGTACCTGATTTCAATAACTTCTGCTCCTCTTTTCCTTTTTTTTCCTACTCGCAACCACCTCCTATTTCCGGCATTTAATGATTTAAGACTTGCAACCACGGCAAACTTCTGAAGAAAAGGGTTTGGTAGCTTTTAAATTTGTTTTTGATGCAACTGAGCTTTGTGCTACC